CACAGTAACAACATTACTGGGCCCGCTCGAGCAAATCGATGAACAATGGGAAGACAGTGACAAGACAGCTCACAATATTTCATTACATTTAATATTCAAACACCAATCCCACCATTATACCTTCCCACCACTTTATTTTGGATGTTTCCATCCCGAATCCCAATCTCTTCCCCAAAGCTTAACTGAAATAATATATTTTGTATTTGAAACCCAATCTTTTTTTTTTTTTTGCTTTTTGGGTCACACCCGGCAATGCACAGGGGTTACTCCTGGCTCATGCACTAAGGAATTACTCCTGGCAGTGCTTGGGGGACCCTGTGGGATGCTGGGAATCGAACCCGGGTCAGCCGTGTGCAAGGTAAACGCCCTCCCTGCTGTGCTGTCGCTCTAGCCCCTGAAACCCAATCATGAACAGCTTTGTAATGCTCTATCTCATGGTGATTCAAGAAAAAATTTTTTTAATTAAAAAAATTAGAAAATAGGGCTGGAGCTCCAGCAGGGAGGGTGTTTGCCTTGCATCCACTGACCCAGGTTTTATCCCCGATGTCCCATATGGTCCCCTGAGCACCGCCAGGAGTAATTCCTGAGTGCAGAGCCAGGAGTAAGCCCTGAACATTACCGAGTGTTGTAATGTTTTGCAAATATTTTTGCAAATAATATTTTTAAAAAGCCAAGAAAAAAGTAAATAAATAAATGCAGGAGGCCCACAGGGCCAGAGAGATAGAACAGCAAGTGAGGCATTTGTCTTGCATGCAACTGATGCAGGTTCGATCCCCGGCATCTCATATGGTCCCCTGAGCACTGCCAGGAGTGATTTCTGAGTGCAGAGTCAGATGAGCACCATCAGGTGTGAATTAAAAACAAAAAAAAATGTGAGAGGCCCCTTTGTGTGTGTGTGTGTGTGTGTGTGTGTGTGTGTGTGTGTGTCACACCCGGCGATGCTCAGGGGTGACTCCTGTCTCTGCACTCAGGAATCACTCCTGGCGGTGCTCGGGGGACCATATGGGATGCTGGGAATCGAACCCGGGTCGGCCATGTTGGCTGCGTGCGAGGCAAACGCCCTACCCGCTGTGCTATCACTCCAGCCCCCGAGAGGCCCCTTTTTTGGTTTGGCTTGGTTCGGGGGTGGCTTCTGGAGGTGCTTGGGGGCTACTGCCAGCATGGTATTTGGTGTCGTCCCAAAAGTGCTGAGGGCGGAACCTGAGCTTCCCACACTCAGTGAAGTATGTGCTTTAGTCCTTGGAGCTCTCAACCCAACTCCCTCCCCGCCAACACGGACCGTGGCAGGGACGCAGATTTGAGAAACACACACGCACACATACACACGCACACACTGAAACACACACTGAAAGCTTCGAGTTCTTCTGATTTGAGTGTCCTGCCCAATCCCCGGCCACTGGGCCTCTCCACAGGCACCATCAAACAACTGGAAGGGCAGTACAGTGGGTAGGGCACTTGCCGAGGATGCAGCCGAACCCAGTTCTCTCCCTGGCACCACATATGGTCCTCTGAGCACTGTCAACAGTGAGCCCCGAGCACTGAACCAGAGGCAGAATGCTCACGGCTACATTATGACTGGATGGCTATTGGTCAATTAAAAAAAAAAAGTCATGAGGGCTGGAGTGACCTGTGGTGCAGCCAGTGGCCAGCCTGACCTGCCTGTGTCCTTCCGCCAGCCTCAAGATCTTGCCTTAGAATGTCCTCCCCCAAGCTAGCTTGTTGAAAGAACACTTCAAGAAAGCCCTGCCTCCCCCAGCAAAAGAAACCTTCTTTCCAGACACCCTGGACTGGGCAGGATCCAACTGGACCACACAATAGCTCCACATGTCCTCTGGGCATATCCCAGGGGCCAGGGGCCACAAATCAGACCCTGTGCCATGGTTCCGGTCCCTGGGAATTTCACTGCATATGAGATCGAGCCCTTCCCCACCAGCAATCCCTGAGCACAGAGCCAGGAGTAAGCCCTGAGCATCACTGGGTGTGGAAAAAAAAAAAAAGAATTGGCGAGATGGGGCAGGAGAGATAGTATAAGGGTTAAGATGGGGCAGGAGAGATAGTACAGTAGGCAGGGTGCTTGCTGTATAGGCAGCCAACCCGGGTTCGATCCCTGACAACCCATACGGTCCCTCATGCCCACTGGGAGTGATCCCTGAGTGCAGAGCCAGGGGTAAGCCCTGAGCACAGCCAGAAAAGAGCAAACAAACCACAGAAGGGTTAAGGCAGTTGCCGTGCATCTCACCAACCCGGTTCAAATTCCCAGCAGCACACACGGTCCTCAAAGCGCTACCCCAAACCACTCCTGGGCCACAGCCAAGAATAGTCCCTGGTGGGGCTGGAGCAATAGCACAGCAGGTAGGGCATTTGCCTTGCACGCGGCCGACCCAGGTTCGATTCCCAGCATCCCATATGGTCCCCGAGTACTGCCAGGAGTGATTCCTGAGTGTATGAACCAGGAGTAACTCCTGTGCATTGCCGGGTGTGACCCCCCCAAAAAAATGCAAAAAAAAAAAAAAAGAATAGTCCCTGGTCCTGCCATGTGCGGTACATCTCCTCCTGCCAGAAGGAGACTCGTAACCTTGGGGAGTCCAGGGACCCCTTCTTCCTCTGCACCCAGACCCTGCTTCCCCATCCCAGGCAGCTCGAGCTCTCCCTCCCAGAGGGCCTTTCCCAGGTGGCCCAAAGCCTCGTTCTTCTCTGCCCCCCGCCCCCTGCGCCAGCAGTCTTCACAGTCCCACTTCGTGTCATCTCACCAGGAGGACGCCTTGAAGAGTCACTCGTATTAGGGCCTGCGGAGGGGCTCTGGGGTTCAGGCCCTGTCTCACATGAGTGACACCGTGGGTTTCATTCCTAGCACCTAAAAGGTAGCCCAAGGCCGTCCAAACAACAGAGGCTGGAGAAACAGTCCAGAGAATCGAGCGCTTGCACTTGGTTTAATCCCAGTCACTGGATAGTGATCCCTGAGCACAGAGCAGGAGGAAGCCCTGAACACTACCAGATGGGGCCCCGTCCCCATCCCTAAAATAAGAATTATTTTAAGAATTAAAAAAAAAAAAGAATTATTTTAAGAATTAAAAAAAAAAAGAAAAAGAAAAAGAAGCAGGAACTTTGGCCCTGGCCCGTGGCTGTCCAACAACATATCAGTCCTCCAGACCCCAGCCCCACCTCTGGGTAGCCAGGCAGTGGCACATGTGAGAACCCTTTTGTTATAAACGGTGCTATTTAAGGAACTATTATTTTCAGAATCTCAAAGATGCGCCCGCGGGGCTGGAGCCATAGCACAGTGAGTAAGTCATTTGCCTTGTACACAGCCGACCTGGGTTCCATTCCCAGCATTCCATATGGTCCCCCTGAGCACCGCCAGGAGTAATTCCTGAGTGCTGAGCCAGGAGTAACCCCTGAGCACTGCCGGGTGTGACTCAAAAAAAAAAAGCAAAAAAAAAAAATGCACCCGCTGATGCCTTAACTTTCTCTCCCCAAGACTCCCACTAAGAGAGTCTGCTCAGCCCCAGAACTTCTTCGCCCAAACCCAACCTGAGTTCACACATTCCCAGGTGCCGGGGGACCCTGAGCGGGAGGACCAGGTCTCTCCTCTGGGCTGGGGAGGTGGGGCACGGGGGAGGGATACCGGAAAACTGCTCCCTCTGGGGTCCAGCTATTATGGGCAGGGGAGCCTGGGAAGGGGACCAGGATAGGGAGGGCGGCGTGGGGGGCGCAGAGGCCCCTTGGGGAGCAGAGGGAACCCTTCCCCTAGAATGTTGTGCCCAACAGTTGCCAAACGAACTATAATGATCTCATTTGTGTTAAAGCCCAAGGCTCTGCATTCTGCTGTTTTCCAGGCTGAACTGCAGGTGCCCAGGGGAGATGGGAAGAAGTTGGGGGTCCCGAAGTGTGGCCAGACTCTGGAAGTAACCCGGGCAAGGAAACTCCTGACCGAGCCGCAGCCCCCCACCTCCCCAGCCCCCGGCCCCCTCCAGGCCCTTCCCGTTCCCCTGACCGCGGAGCTGGCCCCAGAGCTGTCCAGCGATCTGTTCCCGAGGCCCCCGGCTGGGCAAGCGGCTTTGTCTCTGGGAAGGACCCCCGCGCCCGGCCCCCGGCTCACACCCACCCACCCGCGCCCTGCAGGTCTGCAGCCGGGAAGGGAGCGAAGGGCGCAGCGGGCGGCCGGGGGTCCCCGAGGCCTAAAGAGGCGGGAGAAGGGCCGGCGCGCGGGGGCCGCACCTCTGGGGGCTGATCTCCCGGGGGCGCCCCCCGAAGGACCCCCGAACCCCGCACACACACCGGGTGCGCGCTTCCGGCCGGGTCACCGGGAGGGCCCCCCGCCCGCGGCCGTGCTCGGAGCCCCGGGGCTGCGACGCGCGACCGAAAGCACCGCCCGGCCGGCGGACCGCGCCCCCCTCTCCGCCGCCCCCTCCTCCCCCACCGCGGGCGGCCCGCAGGCCCCGGATCCCCGGGCTCGCGTGGCCGCCGCAGCCGGCAGGGGCGGCCCGCGGGGCGGCCCCACTCTCCGGCCCTCGCCGCCGCCCCTCCACCTCCAGGCGCCGCCGCCGGGGGCCCGGGGAGGCGCACACAAAAGGCAGCCCCCCGCCCCCCGGAGACCCCCTGCACCTTGGCCCCGCGAGGCATCGGCGCGCCCCCCGCACCCACCCACCCCCAAGTCCCGGCGCCGAGCGCGGGGCGCCCCCCACGGCCACCCACGGAGGGAGATTGCGGGCGGGCTCGGGGCGGGGGAGGAGGGGGCGGCAGGTGCCCCCCGGCCGCACAATAACTTTGCAACTTCGGGGACCAGGCGCGGACCCTCCCCGGGCGGGGGCAGGAAAAGGAGGCGCAGGCCGGGCCGGGGCGGCGGGGGTGGGGGGTGGCCACTCGCAGCCGGGCGGGGGGCGCGCGGGAGGCGGCCCGGCCCGGCCCCCCGCGCCCCCGGCCCCGGCCCCGCGCCCGCCGCCCCCCACGCGCGCCCCGCGGCCCCCCGCGCCCCCCGCGACCCCGCGCGCCGCACTCACCTCGGCCGGGCTGCGCTCCGCAGGGCCGGCGCCGAGCCCGATTAAGTGGTATGCTATGACTAGAGGTATGATTACGTTATTATTATTATTAGTAATAATAAGAGTAAATGCTATTTAATTACGGGCGGCCGCATCGTGCCCCCGGCGCCGCCGGCCGGGCAGCTCGGTCCACGCGGCCCCCCGAGCGCTGGACTTTCATCGCCCGCCCCTGGCCGGCCGCTCCGGCAGCGCGTCTCGCCGCAGCCGCCCTGCTCGGTCCTAGAGCGCGGCGCACCTGGGGGCGGGGACCCCTCCCCTCCCCGGCCCGCACCTCCCTCCTGCCCTGCCCCGGCCGGGGGGCCAGACGCCGCCCACCCCCACCCCGCTGTCAGGTGCATACATGGATGATTTACCCACCCAGCCCCCCCACCCAAAAAATAAATAAATAACTCGCAGCGCCCTTTCCCTGGATAAGGTCCCTTTTGGCTAAAGCTGTGGACAGTTTTTTTGTTTGGGGGCCGTCCTGGGGGGGGGCGTGGGAGGGGTGACCCGGATCAATCTTGTCAGTGCTGGAAGGCCCCTTGGTGCCAGAAACAGCCCAGGCCTGGCACCCTGGCTAGGCCAGGGATTTTTTTTGTTGTTGTTGGAGGAAGCGGTCACACCCGGTGATGCTCAGGGTTACTCCTGGCTCTGCACTCAGGAATGACTCCTGGTGGTGTTTTGGGGACTATATGGGATGCTGGAGATCAAACCCGGTCTGCCTCCTGGAAGGCAAAGCCTTATCCCCCACCTCCCACCACCCACTTTTTTTTTTTTTTTTTTTTTTTGCTGGGGCACACCCAGAGGTGCTCAGGGCTTTCTCTTGCCTCTGTGCTCAGGGATCACTCCTGGCGGGCTCGGGGACCATATGGGTTGCTGGGGATCCAACCCAGGTCAGCCACCTGCAAGGCAAGTGGCTAAGTGACCCTAACCACTGTACTATACCTCTGATCCTCATCTGCCTTAACATCTGTCCTGAGCCTGTATGTGGCCTCAGGACACCTACAGGTGAGATGTTCTCCCAGGCCAGCAGGGTGGCTCAGGGGTCCAGAGCACATGTGTTTCATCTGCAAGGACCTGAGTTTGATCGCTGGCCCACTAAGGCCCCCAGCACTGCCAGGCATAGCTCTGGAGTTTTCCTGAGCATCACAGGGGGTGACCCTGTGGCCCCCAGCATCTCAGCCTGAACACTATACCATCACGGCTGGGAGTGGCCCTCATGCTACCCCAACACTGCTTGGGAAGCCCCCAAACCCCACCCCTCCTTCTACAGAGGCTCTCCCCCCAATACTCAGAGGCTTAGCTAAGGAAAAGGCGACCTCGGGGCTGGACAGTCCAGGGGTCAAGTACGCTTACCCTGCATGTGATGGGCCCCGGCACCACGGAGGGTCCCCCAAACATTGCAGAGCCAGGAGTAAACCCTGAACACTGCCGGTTGTGGCCTCAAAACAAAACAAAAAAGTGACCTCTGGCAAAGTGGGTGGACATTTATGTACAGAAGTAAAAAAAGCAGAGTCCAGTGACCCTCAAACTCACCATGGTCATGAGCTTGTTTAAAATGGTCATGGGGGTGGGGTCAGAGTGATAGTCCAGCAGGTAGGGCGTTTGCCTTGCACGTAGCCCACCGGGGTTCACCCCTTGGTATCCCACATGGTCCCCGAGCACCACCAGGAGTAATTCCTGAGTGCAGAGCCAGGCGTAACCCCTGAGCATCTCTGGGTGTGACCCAAAAAGCCAACAAATAAAAATTAAATTAAATGGACATGTGGGGATGTGTGCAGGGTCTGTCCCTGCCTTTGGAGAAACCTGCATTCACTCTTGAGTACATTACTATTTCACTTTCTCTCTCTCCTTCCTCTTCCTAAAAACCTCCAAAAAAAAGTTTTTACTTAAAAATAAATTAATTGGGGCTGGAGCAATAGCACAGTGGGTAGGGCATTTGCCTTGCACGCGGCCAACCCAGGTTCGATTCCCAGCATCCCATATGGTCCCCCGAGCACCGCCAGGGATAATTCCTGAGTGCAGAGCCAGGAGTAACTCCTGTGCATCACTGGGTGTGACCCAAAAAGCAAAAAAAGAAAAAAAATTAATTAATTTAATTTAAAGGACATGGGGGGGGGGGTTGGAGCGATAGTACAGCAGGGAGGGCATTTGCATTCCATGCGGTCGATTCCCAGCATCCTATATGGTCCCCCACCAAGCACTACCAGGAGTAATTCCTGAGTGCAGAGCCAGGAGTAACCCCTGTGTATCTCCAGGTGTGACCCAAAAAGAAAAAAAATGAATAAATAAAAGACACAGGGGCCAGAGTGATATATTGTCCAGCAGGTGGAGAGATGGTCTTGCACACATCTGACCTGGGTTTGATCCCTGGCACCTGATCCTGAGCCTGCCAGGAGTGATCCCTGAGCACAGAGCAAGGAGTAAGCTCCGAGCACCACTGACTGGCCCCACTTTTATTTTATTAACAATAAAATAAAATAAAATGGACTTGAAGTAGGAGGGAGGCGAGCTCAATGAATCATCTGCTTTGCAGGTAGGAGGCCTGGATTCTATCCTCAGTACCTTGTGGTCCTTCGAGCACTGCCAGGAGTAACCTAGAGCACAGAGTGGGAGTGGCCCCCGAGAACCACTGGGTGTGACTAAAATTAAGCAAAAATGGTAAAATTAAGTCAAATAGATTTCTGGGCTGGGGATGTTGTTCAAATGGCGGAGCACACGCTTCACACATGTCTCCACCAATGTGCGCCCACTAATGACAAATCAGTAACATCTAAAGAGGGGCTGGAGTGATAGTACAGCGGGGAGGGCGTTTGCCTTGCACGTGGCCAACCCAGGTTCAATTTCCAGCATCCCATATGGTCCCTCGAGCACCGCCAGGAGTAACTCCTGAGTGCAGAGCCAGGAGTAACCCCTGTGAATCACTGGGTGTGACCCAAAAAAAACAAAAATAGAAAAAATCTAAAGAAAACGAAGACTTCTAATACCGTAGGTTCTGGGTATGTCGAGTACTGATCCGAAGAACTTGAGAGCACGAATTCCCAAAGGTAGATGGCGTTTGCTGCAGCGCTGTGTCAGTAGCCAGGAGTTTTAAGTCCCCATTGGCAGAGGAGGTGGGTAGGAGGTGGGTATACATCCTCACCTGGGTAGGCAGCTCTTTGCCGTTTGGGACATGTGTGGATTTTGAGGGTTACTTTTTTGTTTTATTTGGAGGCCACACCCATTGGTGCTCAGAACTTACTCTTGGCAATATGTTCAGGGTTCATTCCTCGCCATGCTTAGGGGACCATATGGGGTGCCAGGGATCGAACCCGGGTCGGCTGCGTGCAGGGCAAGCATCCTATCCCCTGTGCCATGGCTCCAGCCCTGAGCTAGACTTTCGATGGCAATCATCTTGTAGTATATACAAATGCCAGATGCTTGAGCTTGGAGTAACAGTTCAGAGGATAGGGCGCTTGCCTTGCAGGCGGCCAACCCAGGTTTGATCCCCTGGTGTGCTTCAATCCCCTGAGCACCTCCAGAAGTGACCCCTGAGCACAGAGTCAGGAGTAAGCTCTGAGCACTGCCTGGTATGGTCCCCAAACGAAACACAAACAGAAGAGGCTTATGGATGTTACCCTGGTGACCCCCAGGGAGAATGGGAGTTGGACACGCATGCTCTGATCTGTGAGTCAGAGCTGAGAGCTCCCATTCTCAAAGGGCAGAGTGACTTCAAAGAGGGAGGGGGGTGGGAGGCAGGGATGGGTGCCATCCTGAGGAAGGGGGGGAGGGAGAGAAGGAGAGAGTAAGGAAGGAAGGGAGGAAGGAAATAAAGAAGTAATGGGAGACGCTCAGGATGGGAGATGTGTGCTGCTGAAAGTAGACTATGGACCAAACATGATGGCCACTTAGTACCTGTATTGCAAACCATAACACCCAAAAGGAGAGAGAAAGAGAGTAAAAGGGAATGTGCCTGCCACGGAGTCGGGGGGGATGGAACGGGAATGAGGGTGGTTGGAGGGATACTGGGAACATTGGTGGTGGTGGAGAATGGGCACTGGTGGAGGGATGGGTACTCAATCATTGTATGACTGAAATGTAATCACAAACGTTTGTAAGTCTGTAACTGTATCTCATGGTGAGACATTAAAAAAAATCACTATCACGATCATCCTGTTGTTCGTCGATTGCCTGAGCAGGCGCCAGTAACGTCTCCCTCTTCCTAGCTCTGAGTTTTTGGTGTTTTTTTTTTTTTTTGCTTTTTGGGTCACACCCAGCGATGCACAGGGGTTACTCCTGGCTCTGCACTCAGGACTTACTCCTGGCGGTGCTCAGGGGACCATATGGGATGCTGGGAATCGAACCCAGGTCGGCCGCGTGCAAGGCAAGTGCCCTACCCGCTGTGCTATCTCTCCAGCCCCAAGCTCTGAGATTTTAAAAGAGTCATTTCAATGCTCTTTCAGGGTTAGGAGAATGAGACTCATCATTGTTACTGGTATTTGTCATATTGAGTACGACACAGGAAGTTTGCCAGACTCTGCCGTTCAGGCAGGATACTTTTGCTAGCCTGCCAGGTTCTCCAAAGGAAAAATGAGATAATGAGATGTTGCGCGGCCACATGCGGCCACAGGCTTCTGGGAGCTGGGTTTTATAGTCTCTGTGTCTTGGCCCGGCCCAGTAACGTCTCCATTGGAGACTTTGTTGTTACTGTGTCTGGCATATCGAATACTCTCGGTAGCTTGTCTTGGCCATTGATGGGACCAACCTGGCGCTGGCAGCAGCTGGTGGGTGTGACGCCTACCTACTGGAAGATGGGGGGTCTGGGTGGAGAAGGCCCAGTCCCAATCCGAGTAGGCTTGGAGACCTCAGCCCCGGGACCCGCACGCCTGGGTTCCTCTGCCAGTTCTTTCATGCATGAGGCTTGTCCGGACGTGTGTACAGTGGGCCCAGCATGGCCGTGGCTGGCTCCAGAGGTCCTCAGCTACTGGGGCTCTGCTGGGGGAAGGGAAGGAAACTCAACCCGCCCCCCTCCAAGGGGCCCCGGTGAGGACAGCCAGGTGCGGGGGCAGGAGACTCCGCGCTGTTCTCTTCTGGGAGCTGGGTTTTATAGTCTCTGCATCTTGGCAGTTGATGGCACCAACCTGGCACTGGTGGCAGCTGGTGGGTGTGATGCTTGCCTACTGAAAGATGGGGGGTCTGGGTGGAGAAGGCTCAGTACCAATCGGAGCAGGCTTGGAGATCTCAGCCCCGGGACCCGCATGCCTGGGTTCTTCTGCCAGTTCTTTCATGCATGAGGCTT